AAAAGTCACCGTGCAAAATCTTCATAAGGCTATCTAAATCTTTTTCTTTTTCTGCTGTATGTTGACGATTTGATAACGACTGTAAAATGACGTCGTAAAGACGTCATGTGTTTCATGTATTGCTTGTTGAAGAAAATAATTCAAATAGAGAAAAAAAAGACGTCGTTAAGACGTCGACGCCATTTTCTTCTTTCACTGTATGTGTGGTACCGATGATTTGATAACGACTGCAAAACGACGTCTTAAAGACGTCATGTTTTTTTGTGGTCATGGTTGCTGAAGCAATGTTTCTAACCGAGAATAAAAGATGTCTTTAAGACGTCGCTTTTTCTGGCACAACTACTTAACGACACACGACCACATAATGACCACAAAAAGACGTCTTTCACGCGTCATGTGCCCACTGGGTATGTCAGCTGAACAATGGCACCAGCTCCGAAGACTAGGCTAAGTTTCAAAACACCACTTATTTCTGTATCTACTCAGAAATACGCATATGCCTAGATATGACTGGACTGGGCATCACAGTTATGTGGTCCAAAATTTGAGTTTGAACTGAGTACTGCCAGTACTTTAGATATTTCACTCATTCCCTACAGCAAGAAATGTATAACCTAAACAAAGGGGAAAGGCTGATCAAGATCTTCTGCTAACACTAGAAGGTAAGAACTGTCATTCAGTTACGTTCACCATTACAAAACAAATACATGTGCATCATAGATCATGTCCATTGAACTCTAAAATCATGGTGATACTTGGTAATCATATTCTGGGTTAGTCAGTTCGTATGTTTTTAAAGCAATTTGACACTGCCTGTACAATTTCTTGAAACCTCCAAATCACACTTGCCTATCGTTTTAAGTCATTTAAAATCAAATTTTACATTTTCCAACCTGAATGTGAATTGTACGCTTGAGTGAATAGTAAATAAGCAAACTTAATTTGTGACAAACTTGCACTGAAATTATACCAGAAAGCATAGAATATCGTGTAACCAAACACAGCTAAATACCATTTATATATTTGTTTCATCATAAAATTTAGCCGTTTACTCTACACTGTCATGTTTTGTAGATATCTAGAGATTGTGCAGATTGATGATGAATAGTTAGTTATAAGTTATATTAATAGTTATAAGTTGTCTGCACCAGGAAGCATTAACTATTGATTGTGGGTTTGAGTCCAAACTGAGCAAGCTTGTGGTATTTTCACTACTCTTTGACCACACTGAGAATACATACAGTGTGTATATATGCCCCGGCATAAGAAGCAAACCTAGTACAAGAATTAACCTATAACTGCCTTGCTGATACCTTATAAATGCATAACTGAGTCTGATATCATTCATTTCTGATTCCCCTCCTAAAATATAAATATTATTAGTGAAAATTCACAGTCATATTACATATGATGGGTTTGTTGTAACATGACAAGAAATATAGGTTAAGTGCCCAAACTAAATCTTGACAAATTCTAATCAACCAATGCAGTTACAAGACCATTCGTGGTATAGATCAGTGACGAATGGTAAAGCTTTTAGAAATCCTGCCAATGTGCTGTAAATTTGTGATTATAAATGTTGGATTTGTAGTTTCTGTGCATGTAATATCTGTATACATACAAGACCTGAAATATGTGAAAAATCATGGAAGTATTTAAGGATCAATTTATTCACCAGTTGTTGAAACTTCTATTGCATGAAATGTGCTTCAGGACCGCATGGTTTCACATCACACATTCATACAGCAGAGATCCACTCTCTTTCAGTGTCTTAACTAGAAATGAACCTAAAGGTTTGGACACAATCCAGGAGACAAACTCTTTTTAACCTACCTCAATATACATGTAGGACTATGAAAGGGCAGATGTTTCCGGATAAAGCTCCACCTTGTCCCAAAGAACTTGCTCTTTGTTAAACCAACTCCTCCCTCCAGGTTTCTTGTCACAGATTTTCACTGCTCCTGCATTTGATCTGTTCTGTTCAGAAAATTTTGCAATTAGTTTTTCCTTAAAAAAATGGGCCTTTCATCATTTTAGTCAGGAACAAAATCAACTAAATGACACAGCAGCTAAATAAATGAACAAAACATGCTTTAAATGTACACATTTATTATATATATTATATTCCCCTTGTGTAAAACTTTTTGCTTCGATGTTGATTTCAGCAGTATCGTAATTTGGCCCAGTTAATAAGCTGATACATTTTAAACTGAAGTTAAGAAATGTTCAAGTCACCTTAGTCTAATAAAGGTACTTTCACTCCTGGCACCCAGCCTTGAGCCTCACAGCCTTTGCACTGAAATGAATCCTGCTTCTTTTGGTAAACTGATGTTTTCCCAAGAAAAACTAATGTTTGATGTTGTAGCAAAATGACGTTCAACTTTCACTCTGTTAGCATTTTGTAAAATTGTAGCACAACTCAGCTGGTAACTACTTGTTGGCGATCAGGAAAGGGTGGGGTAAGGAAGCCTGCACTGGAACAAGGGTGGGTGTACGCACCAAACAGATGTCAGAAGTAGGTTGGTATCTTCTAAATCTTCATTGGAAAACATGGGGGTTTACAGATTACAGTATATACATGTACTTGGTGGCTGTGACACAGCCCTGTCATTACCCCGTATTTCAACACGACTGCAGTGCTGATGAAACACCCTGGGCATGCGTATATTCCAGTTACATTCATAAGTAGTTGCATGAATTTTATTGTGACTCAGAGCAAACAAATGAAATATTGTGACACCTGAAAGTGAAACTCTCCTTCCATTTTATTTCATTTTGTTATATTTCATCCTTTTTAGTTATAACTTTTATTTATATGCTGATTGTGACATATAATGTTTACTATCTTGCCTTTGTGTTTGTCCATTTAAAATTTGCATTTAGACAATTACTTCCAGTTTAACCTCAGTTTCAACACTTCCTGTTATTAAAGTAAACATTTTCATAGTAACTTCAATGATGACAATTTGTGTATGTAAATCAACAGAAAAGATCAATTATTTAGAAACTTACCCATCAATACTTCCCAGATGATATTCCAAATGCATGCATTTTCTAAACAAAATAATTTTCTACGGTGACAGGGGTATTTTGATGGTAAGAATGTACTGATCCAAGATTGTAAATGTACGATAGTCTTAATTTGAAGACACTGTGAACAGTGGTTCCTAAATCAGCTATTGCTGAATCTGCCATCACAAATTTTTCTGCAGGTTCATTCACCAAAAAATGATCTCATATCTATGTTTGTGTTTCCTGTGTTCATGAATTTAATTTGAAGTTGTGCTGCTTGTACTCAAGTGAGCGTGCTTCCACAAAATTTCCAGTCGTGCAACACAGGGCTTATCGCACGCACACTTACAACACGATATTCAGACATCGGTTGCTAGATTCCTGTCGTCATGACACGCATAGTGCACGATTAAAAAATCCATGATATTTTACATTCATTACACAAATGCCTAAACAAAAATTCCATCCCATTTCTGATAAAATACACCCCAAATAAGTTCGCCTGACTATTTTCGTATCTCAAGAGTCTAACTAATCGCCCAACACTGAATTATTCATATTGCTGCAAAGAGATCTGGAGTGCCCGCCAATGAGACTGTGTGCTTTCATGACGTACATTTGGCAAGACACAGCTATCCAATCGAAGGACTCATTCATGACATTATGCTTCTTCAGTGACCATCTCGAGCGCGGGCGACCGCGCCGCAGTGGGCGAGTGATCTTGGACTACCAATCAATCGTGTCATGCAGCTTGTGTCCAAAATCAAAAGAGAGGCGAATGAATGGATGGGGGCTCAGTGGATGAGCCTTCACATTCTAGCAGCTACATCCAGGCCTACATGTGCATGCAGGTTAGTTACTGTTGGCTTCGTCATCATCCATGGCGGTTGAAAGTCTTTTAAAAATCCCTGGATCAATGCTTTCACATGTTATCCTATAAGAGTGAAGTTTATTATTCTAAACACATCACAAGGTATTTGATTAATCATAACTGAGAGATCATTTTGATCAACCATGTTGTCCTAATTATATTCCAGAAAAACTGAAATACAAGCAGTGACAAGTGAGGAATCGGGTTTTTGCTTCTCTTTTCGTGTGGTTGGAACGAATGAGAGAACAATAAAAAAAGATCGTTGATTGCCGTGGATGTCGAACAGATGCAGATTTGATTATGGAATCATTCTATAGTTTATAACACGTATTCCTGGCTTCGGTTAGATTTTCACACAATACTTGTACATGCTGTATATAAAGGACAAAAAAGACCTAAAGAGAGCACAAGGCTAGCACAAGCAGCATTCGCATTTTCTGATCCACCAATAAAAATTTTCGAAAAATAAAGTCCAGTGCGGACACGGAAGACCAGCTGATTTTTAATTCCAACCTGTAGGGCTGTAATACAGGTACGTGTATACATGTGCCAATGAGTAATACAAGAAGCACTGCCTACAAGCTATTCCAAAACTGCAAACTTGACAGCGGAAACAAAACCTTTTGACAGGCAGGTTGAGGGCTGCATGCTGAAGTATCATGTTAGGTCTTATCTCTTCACCAAAAGACACAATACAAATGTGATGCTGGATGACTGAAACCACAAAGTATGCAGTCTTTGTTGTGGATATAATTGTCTGCTTTCATCTTATGAGGGTTGTGGGAACATTCTGAACAAATTAGCCAGAATACCGAGGTATTGAAATTCAATACCGAATTAGTTGGTATTCCGGTATTCGTGGATTGTTATTCGGCATTGTTCAGTATTAAAAACAAAACCACGGTATTCGGTAATACTGAAATACCGCCCAAGCCAAATGTAAAGAGTCCCCAACCCCATACAATCATACCGATAGCATCTGATAACTTGAATCTAACGTACATGTATTTCCAAAGTAAAATGGTAAATACAAATCCCTTTGGAATGTGCCCTACGAACCATTAATGGTGCTGACTGCATGTCACTTTGTGTGACTTGATATACATGTACTTGCATGGTGCACGTGAAAGGAAGCAAAAGTTTTGCACCCAGCCAAAAAGTTGCCCCACTGACACACTAATGGCTTAGGCCAGAAGTAAAGCTTTTATATACATGCAGGTGTACATTCATGTAGCCAGCTCATGATGTTTGACAATGGATCGATTTCAACTTTAAGGCTGGAAGTATTAGATAAAACTTTTGTTCTCTTTACAATGGACTATAGAGGATGGAGGGACTTGGTTTAAGTCAAACTCAAAAGGTGGAGATTCTTTGATTCAAAATGGGCAAATTTCCACTTTTTTGTCCTTTTGGGACTGAGTTCAAGTTCTACATAGCTGAACAACAATGCATATTAACAGGATTGAATTAGCTGGGAATATAATGCACAAAGTGACGCGTTTTTTTCTCTTGTTTTCTGGACACTGGGTTTGGGTGGGACATCAGAGAATAGATTCAGAGCTGTCAATTTGTGCACTGACAGGGCTAAGCTTCACACAGGACCTCAGCCATTCTGTAGACAATCTACAGTATTTGTCTATTCTCTTTTACATGATGTTATGAGAGGAAGATGCACAGGAAAGTGCTTCTGCGAAAAATCGGCCACAAAATACAAGCTTCCACAATGCTTCCATCTGCATACACACTAGCAGATAGAAAGAGTAAGTCTTCACAGATCAGCCTCTATTTCTCATACACAGATGAGGAAGGTAAAAGGGTTTTTTCGCCTTGAAAGTAGGAAAACTGCCTTCCTGGTGTCTGGTGACCTACCCAGAAAAGTTTATCCCACAGGATAAGCATGACAAGGTGTAGTAAAATCCAAACAGCTGCACCAAAAAGTAAGAAATGTTGCAACAATTTTTATGACAACAGTGATGACGTCAAAAGTTACTAAAAATTAACTGCCCGTTGGCTTTTAGGCATCAGGCCTGTAAATATACGTAAAGTAAGGAAGTCCCATGAGCAAAACATTGTTTCATAAAGTTCCCAATGAAGTAACTGCTCTTAAAAATAAACATAACTGCATTGTACACATGTACATGCTCTCAATAATAAAATGCCGAAGGCACTAAACAGTTTTTATAATAAAAATAACAAAGATCAAGTTTAAGTGGATCCCCAGCAATGAAATGCATTACCTATGTGTTTGCCTGTGCAAAGCAGTCTCACATTTAAAAAATTTAACAGCCCTGCCCCCCGAAAAAGTTCCTAGATCTGCCCTTGTGCGTCCTCTTTTGGAATTCCTCTTGTAAGCACAGTAACTAAATGATTATGTGACTGTAAACATATGCTTGATAAGCCTTTTGCCAGTTAAATTTCAATTAAATCTGGGACACTGAGTTCTTTAAATTCACATGAACATAACAGTTTGAACTCTCCATACTGAAGGCACTGTTGCGATACCCTGTGATTTGGGGCAAGCTTTTGCTTATAGTTACCTAAGAGATGCCCTGCACCAATAACACTGTTTTCAATGTAAAGAAGAGATGGTGGTTGCTGCTATGCAAAAGCTTACCCCAAATCACGAGGTACATGTATGTATATCAATATTGCAGTGTCTTTAGTCTGGGAAATTCAAATTATGTTTGAGTGCAATCAGAAAACTTAGTGTACTGTACCAAACTCTATTCAATTTAACTCGCAAAGGCTTATTATCCACTTAATTGGCTGACAAGTGAGCTCGCCAGATAAAAAATGCCACAAAATCAGCTGCACAACTTATGGATGGTCTTTTGTAATGGTTTCAGGGTGTTTTGAGCAAGTGTGGCCTGCAAAGCCTGGTTTCTATATTGATGTAAGGAGATGCAAAGGGTATCACTGATCAGTTCCTAATGATGCACAGTGATATATTAGAAAAACATTATCCCGACTAATGCTTACATCAACACAGACAGTCAGGAAAGTTGGATCAGGTTCAACTTTGCAGGCTGGCTGTGTCGAGTCCCAGAGTAGGCCTATACAAACATGTACGCTGGCACGACGGGCGTACAACAAT